AGAGAGAGAGAGAGAGAGAGAGAGAGAGAGAGAGAGAGAGAGAGAGAGAGAGAGAGAGAGAGAGAGAGAGAGAGAGTGCTTACCTGTTCGGGTCCACTGGCAATAGCGGCCATTAACAGCTTGCAATCGAAGTCAATTTTGGTGATAATAAGAAGTGTTTGGGAGGCAATTTCATCTTCTTAGGTGCTGAGTTGCTGTTTGATGCTTGGTGTGAATCTTCTGTGAGTCTTCTGTGTTCTGGGAGTTCGATTGGGGATTGTTTGCAGTTGGGTTCCTAGCTTTTATGTGTGTGTGGAGTTGCGTGCACAGTCTGTGGTTGTGATCCCGGCATTAGAGGGTGTACATTTGAAGCTAGAGTGGCATCTACCATGTAATTGTTGCATCACGGTGTAGGTCCAGTTGCCCTTTGATAAGCTTCTGGTTTGCCTGCATTTGGATTGTGTTCAGGGCTTGTCCATTCTGCCCTTCTACAAGAACGTAATGTTCCCTCATATCATGATCCAGCTTGCCCCTGATGGTGTTACACAAACAATTCTCTGACAGTTTGCCTGTTTTAATTTCACTATGCAGACAGCGGCAGAACTGTACCCTATTGAGCTTCTCCTACCTGCCTTGCTGCGATCTTTGGATGAGCAGCGGTCGCCAAAGGTAAAGTCTCATCCCTTCCTCAGTCCAGGAATGTGTTCCTTCCTTGGCTCCTTTTTGCGTGTTAAGTGGATTATCAACTAAGGAATGTGTTCCTTCCTTGGCTCCTTTTTGCGTGTTAAGTGGATTATCAACTAAGCATTGTAGGAGAACTTTTCATTGAACTTGTTCACTGTTTTCTTGCCCTCCTTAAATGCTGTTGGTGCTGGGCGTGTGACACAGACATGTGTATGAAACACCATGAGGTCGATTAATTTTGTTTGCCATTAATGGCATCTCAATCCTTCATAAACGATAGCTTGATGCACTGGCCTACTCTGCTGTGCAGTCCGTGAGCTTCTATGAAACTGATCAGGTATTGAGAGAGCCATACTTGCAAGCACGAGCCAATTACGCATTTGCATATGTGCGGTGCATGTGCGCAGTACACGTGCGGTGCCTGGCGGGCACAAGCACAACAAAATGAGAAGTGATGTACTCTAAGCAATTTTTGGGAAGATGCTGTCTTGAAATCATTTTTCCTGAATTTATAAAATAAAAAATGGTTTTGTCTGCTTTTTTCCACTTTTCCCCAGGTAGTTTGCCGGCATTGCACCGCGCCACAGCTTGTGCGCACAGTACGCATGTGCGGATGCAAGTATGGCCAGTACAACTGAACAAACTAAGTAGAAGTTCTTGCCAGCATTGGATCCAGAGAGCAGGGTTGTTGAGCCCCGCCCCCAGGGCCCCGGCAGGGGTCCAGGGGTGGGCACCTGTTACATGCTGCGCCTGCAACAGGCTGCATGGGCCATTTTCAGGCCCGTGTTATTTTCAGTCTGAAAGCCTAAAAACAAGGCCTATAGGCCCCGTGTCAGTTTCAGCCTGAAAGCCTGAAAACAAGGGCCTACAGGCCCCGGGTCAGTTTCAGCCTGACAGCCTGAAAACCAGGGCCTACAGGCCCCGTGTCTGTTTCAGCCTGACAGCCTGAAAACCAGGGCCTACAGGCCCCGTGTCTG